TAAACGAACTCATTGTATCGTATCTCTCCGCATTTCTTTATATCAAAGGTATATTTTGTATTAACACTTTGTCGACGGATTCAATGAATTTGATTGATTAAAAATCTAAACGAACAATACAAATCCTTTTGCATCTGTCGACAAGGTATTCAAATTGAACAGTAGTGTTCCAAACAAAGAATCATTATTAAATTTTACTTTCATCAGAAATACAATATAAAAAGAGAAACAATCGTAAATTGTAAACCGTAAGTCGTACTTAAGAAAAAATATAAATTAAAAAAAAAAAAGTTGTTAATTAGATAGATACAAAGTGTAAGAAACGAGTAGCAATGATTCTTTGCCTTCTCTGCGACTATTTTCTAACTATACAGGTGAGCTGCGCCGAATTAAATACGTTTAAATAAAAAAACAAAGAGAATAACAAAAAAAATGTAATGAATTAATAATTACAGACACTAATGATTAAAACGCGATAGATCTTTTCCGCGGCAAAGATATTTTGCAAGTGTCCTTCCAAATGAAAAGAAAAGCAACTCCCGAGGATTCAAGCGACACTCTTAGATCTTGTACTTAATTAATACATAAATTAGTTGAGCTTGTCAACTTGTACATTCCCTGCGGTCCATCCTCCGAGATTTTTGCGTGCTTGAACTTAAAAATGAAATGGAGATATGTTATTTATAATGTTCAATCGTTCTTGAGAGGATAAAGAATGAAGGATGAACCGGAAGCACGATGTATGCGTTACGTGTAAAAGCGTGAAACAATATCCTTATGATGTATGCAAGCGCTGACAGTATACTTTAAAAGAGATTGTAAGCGTAATTTATTCAAAACCTGTCAAATATTGTACATTCGCGCCGGCATTGTCTATACATACATGATTATTATTATTACTATTATTATTACTTGCTATTATTATTATTGCTATTATGATTATTATAAAATACTAGTTAAAGTTGAATATACTATATCTACTATTTATTGCTGTACATGATTTATTACTGTCCTTTAATTTATTTACAATTTAACGATGATAAATTATTATAATGTTATTATAACATTCTTTTATTACTGACGATGAGATCATCTTGGGATGTTAGGGACCCCGTTGAATCGATGGTGCTCTCTGCATACCGACCTCATATCATCTTGGGGTGTTAGAGGCCCCGAAGCACAGGTAATACTCTTTGCATATCGACATCATGGCATCCGGGGTGTCAAGGAACCCGATGCATCGATAGTGCTCTCTGCATACCAACCTACTTTCATCCTGGGGTGTCAGAGACCCCGAGCACCGGCAATACTATTTTCATATCGACATTTTGTATTTCGTTTGAAAATCGTTTGTGATTGATTGTCAGTCTATTTTTAACGTTTGTGACAAATTACTTCTTTTGTAATTAGCAATTTTATTTCAATCATGCTGTGAGTCGAAACTTTTTAGTAATTTTTTATAATAAACAAATTTTGTAATAACTGATAACTGTAATTGATTGGAAATCGTTTGTGATTTACAAATATATCATTTTCATTGTTTGTGAGTGAATAACTTCTTAATTATTTACAAGTTTGTTTTATAATAAATAATTGAAGTGCGCATGCGCTACAGATCCGGTCGTACCCATCACTATCCCGAACAAGCGAGTTTCACGATTTGTTCGTTTTTAGGTCTTATATTTCGCTAGATCCGGTCGTACCCATCACTATTCCGAACAAGCAAGTTTCACGATTTGTTCGTTTTTAGGTCTTATATTTCGCTAGATCCGGTCGTACCCATCACTATTCCGAACAAGCGAGTTTCACGATTTGTTTGTTTTTAGGTCTTATATTTCGCTACTTGCTTCGGGGTCCCTGACACCCCGGTGGCATAATATAGGTATGCAGCGTCGCCGGTACCTGGGGTCTCAGATACCCCGAATGCCGTAGGGCCGGGAAGCAAAGAGTGTCACCGGTGCTTCGGGGTTCCTGACACCCCAAGATGATATCAGGTCGGTATGCAGAGATGGTCACAGGTACCTCGGGGTCCCTGGCACCCCGGATGCTATATTATTAGTATGCAAAGATACTTACCGGCGTTATGGGGTCCTTAATACCCCAATATGATATCAGGTCGGTATGCAGAGATGGTCACTGATACTTAGGGGTCCCTGGCACCCCGGGCGCTATATTATTGGTATGCAGATACTTACCAGCGTTTAGGGGTCCTTAACACCCCATTATGATATCAGGTCCGTACGCAGGGAGCGGCATTCGCGCAGCGAGGTCCCTAACACCCCAGACTCATACCAGGTCCGTATGAAGAGGGCACAACCAGTATAATTTTTTTTCAGAGCTTATTTCATTTACTTCAATTATTTTTTTTTGCTTATTAAATAAACTCATCGAAGGGGAATAACATTTATGATTATATTCCTCTTCTGGGTCTCAGCCGAGGACCCCATTTATTTTACTTTTTCCAGTTACTTATATAATCTTATCCCTCAATATAGGCCGACGCTATCTCAGTATTCCTAACATCCCTGTATTCCTTACATTCCTGCAACTCTTAAATACGCTTTTTTTTTTTTTATTTTAACGTGGTGGAAATCTTCAGAAAGACACCTTCAGCCCCCCTGGGGAGGGGCCGGAGGTAGTGTGGGATTTTTACCCACTAAAACCACCACGGTGGCCTGCACCAGGACGGTAGGGAGGGTCCTTCGACCCTCTGCCATGTGCCAAACTTCGCCGACATCGGGGCCACACCCGATGCCGGCTTTTATCGGGCCGTATGCAGTGGAGACCGGGGCCCCAGCCCCGGACCCCTACGGAATTCCTTTACATCCCTCGTTCCGTTATATCTCTGCATCCCTTACATCCCTACACTCTTTTCATCCCTACACTCTTTTCATCCCCACACTCTTTTCATCCCCACATTCTTTTCATCCCTACATTGTTTTCATCCCTTCATTCTTTTCATCCCTACATTGTTTTCATCCCTTCATTCTTTTCATCTCCACTTTCCTTACATCTCTGCATCCCTTATAATAAATATATTATAAAGACTACTTCGAGTAAAGGTAAGTAAAGGTAAGTAAAGGTAAGTAAATTTCGCAAAAATTTCGAAAAAGCAGCGCCCCCTAGAGGCATAAATTCGAACTAAAATTCGACGTCGAATCAGCGCCATCTGGTTTCGATAAAAGGAACTAAACCTTGCTCAATTTTTGGCCCTCTGGCGGGAAAAATGTGAACTAAAATTTCGATGTCGAATCAGCGCCATCTGGTTTCGAAAAATAGAACTAAACCTTGCTCAATTTTTGGCCCTCTGGCGGGAAAAATGTGAACTAAAATTTCGATGTCGAATCAGCGCCCTCTGGTGGCGAAAAAGGAACTAAATTTGTATAAAATCGCAGGCCTTATAGCCGCAAAAATTTCAACTTAATTTCAGAGAGGTACTGGAATGTATGGAATGGAGGAATATAAGTGATACGAGGATGTAAAGGATACAGGTATGTAACGGATGCAGGGATGTACGGGATGTTGGGATATAAAGAAGGCAGGAATGTGAGGAATGCAGAGATGTAAGGGATGTGGAGATGTGAGGATTGCAGGGATATAACGGATGTAAGGAATGTAGGGATGGAGAGAATGTATGGATGAAAAGAATGTAGAGATGAAAAGATTGCAGGGATGAAAAGAATGCAGGGATGTAAGGGATGAAGTGATGTAAGGGATGAAGCGATGTAAGTAATGTAGGGATTAAAGGAATGTAGGGATGAAAAGAATGCAGGGATGTAAGGGATGAAGCGATGTAAGTAATGTAGGGATTAAAGGAATGTAGGGATGAAAAAAATGCAGGGATGTAAGGGATGAAGCGATGTAAGGAATGTCGGTATGTAAGTGATGAAAATATGTAAGGGATGAAGCGATGTAAGGAATGTAGGGATGAAAAGAATGCAGAGATGTAAGGGATGCAGTGATATAAGGGTGCAGGGATACAAAGGATACAAGGATACAGTGATTTGAGAGTAGACCTTGCGAGGTCCATAAAAAGAATAAAAAAAATAAATAACTGCACATCACGTGTGCGATATTTTACTGAAATTTATATTCGCGTCAAACATTATAGCGCACGTGTATGCGCCAATAAAAATACGAACTTGTCCAGATAAACGAGAAATAGAGTGTCGTGTCCTCGTATATTTTGCATGAAAATGATCGAATTATCGTAAAAATAGAAACACCTAAGTATATTTTGAAATTGAAAAACTACCATTCTTGTACAGTAAATTTTCTATGAATATTGTAACGATTCATCATGCGAACGTTAATCTATTCGAATAATTAAAAGCTTCCAGGTAATAGGTGAGTCACAGGAGAATTATCTTCCGCATGGTACCCGTAATGTTGATCGATAATTCAAAACGCAACTCGTACTTTATTCTCCTTGAAGCGAAATGAAATAAAAATTCTAAGTTCCCTTTTCCTTATTAAGTATTTCAATATCTTCCGCCACTTACACTCTTCTTTTATTTCAAAATAAATTTAAACATGAAATGATTCAAAAATCAATAATAAAAGATCATAAAATAATTATAATTGCTATCTCAAAATAATTTAGAAGGAATGATGTTTGATGTACCATGAAAAACAATCACTTGTAATAAAAAGAAAAATTTTATTTTTGGGTTCATGTAAATAATTTACAATTAATAATATAATATGTGCTATGATTCTCAAGCAAAACTGGAAATTACCAAATAAATATTTCGTTATAATTATTTGTCAAGTGACCGCCATTGCCTCTGTTCACCATACAAGGTGTCGCGTCGTTATTTTTCAACGAATACTAGTTTTGGCACACGAGCCAAAGGGTTCACCCATTGGGAGATCGATAACGCATCGATTCGACCGGTGTTGCACCTTTTACCCAAGTGCATCGTTACCTGCGCGAGATCCTTGGGGCGAACCCGCGGGAACACCCCTTTCTTTCGGTGTTGCAACCACCGAACGGGCATTGTCTCCTCGTCGCCGCGCCGTGCTCGTCGTCATCGTCGTTGGTTCCTTTCCAGCGACGCATATTCCGCGCAAGCTCGAAGCCGTTTACTATTGATCGAGCATTTCGTCCGATGGTCGCCTCAGAATACCACGGACGGTCCGCACGCCGTAAATATTCGTTCAGTGCGTCGTGGCCGACTGACTTACGCGGATAAAACCGTTTAAATACGGGGTAAACGTGGCCAAACATGGTCGTAGAAGTGATGGAGGACGGACCTCTTATTGAGATCTCATATTCACACCGTGAGTGTTGTTCACCATCCTCGTTAAATTCATTTCCTTTCATTGCACAATCCTGCCTGACATCGATCCTCTACCATCGACGATTCTAGACACCTTTAACCAACACACTATTCCTTTAAACATATATCACACGATCATATAATTTAGAAAATTATCATTTTTCTTCGTTCGGATGAAAAGAAATGGTGAAACTGTTAGGCTGATGGTAGACAGCTGTTACAGAGGATGTCTCAGTGCAGATAGATCACTCCTGCCAGGAGTGTTTCCATCGTTTCCAATTGTATCTCTCTATATTACTTGCTTCTAATTTTATTTTATAATTGATATTATTTGTTACATTTATTCGAAATAGAAAATTTAGACGATGGGTTGATTACAGTGACTTGTATATACATATAGTGTGCACGATGGTCGCGTCCATAGTTAACCCAAGCGTTTAAGACCATGTGATATTGAACACTCGACCCTTCGTTTACAGAGCTTCGAATTAGCCGAAACGAGGGTGTTGATTGGCATTTCATTTTATATGTTTCGAGATCGATTTTGTAAATATAGAACTTAAAAGCTTGGGTATCATTCGTAATGTATCAAGTACTTACGTTTTATAACGTCGTAGATTCCAGAGTATTGATACTTTTATTTTAATAACGTCTCGTTTCTTTTTCTTTTCCTTTTGCGTGATCGGTAATCCTAAGTAATTGGAACGTAAAAAGTGACACACAAGTTTGCTCCCCATGATGATTCAGCGTTGACCCAGGGCGCAAAATTAGTCAGCAACAAGTACACCCTCTTTGGCGATTAATTTCTGTAAAAATAAATAATAATATATTAGATGTGTAATATTATGAAATTAACTGCTATTATTATTTTATTTTTAATTACGAGCTTCTTTTATTCAGATATGTTAATTAAAAGTCGCAGTAATTTTACGTCTCAATAAAACGAATGCAAATCTAAGTGTTAATTAAAAGAATTGGAGCGCATACCGTATACATTTTTTACGTGAAATTTTTTTCTCTTTTAATTAACGAAGTCGCTTTTCCCAGAAATTAATATCAAACAAAATTGTTCTGAAAAAAGGAGTAATTGTACATCCAGCTTTTTAATATCATAAATTTAGCATACATTTTTAATTGAATGTTTAAAAACTTCAGATTATTTTCAAAGCCAAAATCTAATTTTACATCCTCTTCAAAGAGACAGCCTGTCGTATGTGTTCGATTGAACGAAAGTGTTCTCGAGCGTGTAACTTTAATTATAAATAATCTTAAGACACTCGATAATGAAGGATTGAAAAAGAATAACATGTAGTTTCAGTTTCGACTGAAACTGTGGTCATACTATGCATCAGTTCCGCTTTTCTACTCTGCGCCGTCGCGATGACCTGGTGGCTTTGCCGACGACGTCGCGAGCACACCAAGCTGAATTCCGACAAATCCTTGGCGTTCAGGCCGCCGCACAGGAAGCCGATGGCAGTGAAAAGTCCTGGTAGCACCAGTCACTATTTGAAAAAGAGCCCAAGTCCCACAGGACCCGCCAAAAGTCCCCCTGGCTCTGGTGGACAGACGCCAAGTCCCACTGGTTCTCAATCCTCGAACCCAGGTTCACAGCCCAGGACACCTCAGGGCACAGGTAAACAACTCAAAATTAAAGAAGAACCAAGGGTTAAAGGAATAGAAATGAAATGCTTCAAATACATGTATTTAACCATGATGGTCTTCCAAATTTCCACTTTATAAAAATCAATTCAAAGTCAAATCAACAGTCTCATTTTGTTCCAAATTTTCTTTTCCTAATTAGAGATTGTATGCTTCATCAATGATAGGTACCCCAGCATTGACACCTTCTGGCGACGTTACATTGAGCATTGAAAACGAACGGGACAAAGCGGAAATCGAGAACAACGAGAAAACGGAACGCAAGAAAAATCACGCGAATGAAAATAACAAAGACAACTTGGGTCAATTGGTGTTCAAATTGCGCTACGTGAGCGAGCAAAACGCGCTCAGAGTGACGGTAGTTAATTGCAAAGGATTACCTGTAAGGGAGCAGAATGCCACCAGTGACCCGTACGTGAAATTGAAATTATTACCCGACAAACAGCATCAGGTGAAGACGAGGGTCCTTAGGAACACCAGGGATCCAGTATACGACGAGGATTTCACGTTCTTTGGAATATCGAAAGATCAGCTTCAGGTATCAAAGATTCTTTTCTGTTTCACTTTGAAAATTGAGAAACAAATTCGTTTTCTTTAAGAAACTATCATCAAAATTTTGTTAACGAAAGGGTTGTATGTATTTTGAAAGCAGGATAATCAAGTTTACGAAGTATCAATTGATTGACTGATAAAATGTGCTTCTGTTTTATTATCGTTTGCAGAAAATCAGCCTGCACTTCATAGTGCTAAGCTTCGATAGATACTCTCGGGATGATATTATCGGTGAATTGACTTGCGCATTATCATCGGTGTCCGGTTTGGAGAGCGCTGATAACCAAGAGATATCATTATGTCGAAAAATATGTCCCAGAAGCCTGAAGGTAAGAAATAAAAGAGGATATTTTCTTTTTTTTTGTAAGAAAAGATACTACGTTAATGTTAATGATTATAGATTCAGTCACAAGGCAGGGGAGAATTGCTAGTTTCCCTTTGCTGGCAACCACTCAACAGCCGATTAACGGTGGTCGTGTTGAAGGCCCAGAATTTACCAAAGATGGATGTAACAGGTCTGGCTGATCCATACGTGAAGATCTATCTTCTATACAATTCTCAACGCATTGCAAAGCAGAAGACGCGTGTGAAGAAACGCACTCTGAGCCCTCTGTTCAATGAATCTTTCGTTTTCGACATACCAAATGGTGCGGATGGTCTTAACAATGTCAGCCTCGAATTTATGTTGATCGACTGGGATCGAGTTACAAGAAACGAGGTATGTCCATGTAAACATTAATCATAAATTAAATGCTGTTCAATATAAATCAACTTTGAAAAATTTTATTAGAATAATTTAATAATTTTATGTAAAAGCAAAAACAGGTGAATATGATCGAATATAAAATTTCATACACTATACTTATACCATTTCCAAATTACGAACGTCGTATGATCGATTTATAAATACAGGGGGTGACATGACCGCAAGTCGTACACTCTCTTTCGTAGCGTGATTTTTCACAATTTCGTTACATAATGCGATGCAAATCACAGTGAAGCATGACTTAATAGAAAAATCAATTGGAGAGTTTTTAACCTACCATTGGTACAGAATTCGTGTTGCACGAATTACATGAAAGTGGGACAGATTTAATCTGTAACACTGGAAAAAAGTTATTAGATCCTTTCGAATGTAATAGTAAATGTTTTTTTCTTAACACCATAAACATAAAATTTTTTCGATGTCTGCATCATTTCAATTTTTTACAAACGTTTCAAGGTGATGTTTTGGGGTAGAAAGGATTTGTCAGGAAAGGATTTTCAAATTTAATTAGAATCGTACCTTTTTCAGGTGATCGGACGGCTTGAATTCGGCGGTCCAGATTGTCAAGGATCAGCTTTGAATCATTGGAGGGAAGTTTGCAGCTCGCCGCAGAGGCAGATCGCTGAATGGCACAAATTAAGGGAGTAACTGATATTTTCCAGCCCTATCGACTTTCCTGGAATCCCGTCTCCAACTATCCAATAGCCCCACATCCTTCTCCATTGTGAAACCACCGATCCAACCCCTCGAAACCCTACGATGAAGTAGGGTATCTGTTTTGTAAACCTAATACTCGATGTATATTAGGCTTGAAGCGAGTGGCGGCACGTCCACCCGCGATCGATGCAACTGCGGATGCACCGTGATGAGGTCTAGTACAGGGATGAACATCAAGGTAATCTTTTCAAGTAACGTAAGACATTTTAAACCCAAAATTTTTAAGTCACTATTACACTGTGTCATTTGATCACCTCAATTATTAAGGCCCAGGTGTTTACTTAATTGATGAGACCATTCATTTCCTTGATGAATATTGATAATGTAATGTACAAGCGTGTACTGCATACATATCTACATTATAGTTAAAATTTATTTATATAAAAATATACAATTTTCTTTTAAAAATTTGGGTCTAATAGATTCTGATGTTCATTCCTGGTCTAGTCGTTACGTACTGGCCTGAAGCGCGTATGAAGAGTAACTTTGATCGCGAGACAAATTTTTTTTCTTTTTTGTTAAAATTTTGTTTAAACTTCATAAATCGATAGATAGCCGCCATAACCTTAATGATAGTTCCTTCACGCTTCTTACAAAATGGAAGACGAATTCGCTCAAGAAGCGATGGATTATCGAACGACTGCGGATAGATTGGAACGAAGATTAAAAACATGTAGCTGATAAATTGGAAATTTTCATTTAGTTTCTGTAAATGGAACGTTTTGTCAGCCGTTGACTATGTTTCTCGTTGGTTGCAGTGGCAAACGATCGCGGGAGAAACGCATACAAATTGCTTTACAATATAAATATAGTTATTAAGATTTCCGACCAGATGAAAAGGGAGGAGGAAAATAAGGCAGTTAACTAGAAAACAATTGAACGTTTATCGATTGTTTTGTGCGCTATTGTTGCAACACAGGGTTGTGTTTTAATCCTCAACTTAAGAAAATTTTTTCCATTTCTAAATGGAAATCTTCTGCTTATGAAATTTTAAATGACTTGAAAAATGATATTAATATTTAATTTGATAATTAAATTTATTTATGTATAGCAGGCATAGCTTTGTAAAATTTTAAAGCCAACAATTGAACGGTTGAAATTTATTTAAACAAATTTATTTTGCACGACCCTGTCAGATCACTAAGACCGTCATTTTTGCTAAAGTTAATGTGAACTAATCGTAAAAAATATCGAGAGTCAAGCGATCCAAATCGTATAAATGCAAGAATCTCTCCTTAGTTCATTAATTAATTTCATGCAAACTTTATTCATAAAGGAAGATTAAATTACTTTTAATTACATATAATTAGCATAGGTTTATGCTAATTTTCTTTGTTAAAACCTTGGAAAGATTCTTGTCAAAACACACACACACATACCACAAGACGTGGAGACGATTCTGGAAACGTCATAAACATCGATTAAGCTTAAAAACAATATTACGATTATTCGTTCCTGTTCCAAAATTTCATAGCTCCACGTCAACTGGCTACATCACAATTACTTCAACAATTAAATAATGAATAAGAAATAAATTGCAATGGAAAAGATCCGATAATCGCTACGTAAATCTTTGTGGTGCATTCAATTAATTACATTAGTACAGTATCGAGCAAAGTAGGCTTTCTTAGGAAAAATGGCGATATTGGAGAAGCAGGCAACTGATAGCCGGTTTTCCTCGGAAAATCTATGATAATCGACACTGTACATCATTTCTTACGATTCATTACATTTCTAATAGGTGATCGTATTTTTATTTTCACGCCAATAGCATGGTAATACTATTTGTGGAACGGGGTCGATGAATTGTGACGTTGTTTTCAAGTGCCAATGGAAACCGCTTCGCGATTGTAAATATGTAATTTACGTTCGAATAGAGATGAAAATACGAATACTTTATTTAGTTACGAACCGTTTGTGGTTTCAATTGCTATTAATGGAAAAAATTAGTACGTACCACTATAGTTTGTGAACAGGATACAACTGCACAGAGTGTAACACGAACAATTGGTATCATCTAATGCCCTTGTCGAAAAGTGTTTTTACAGCGGTAAAAAGGCGAGAGTGAGGTTCTAAACATTTATTTACAGATTCAACGATATCGTTGCTTGTTCTGACGATGATTAGTGTGTTAATGATTTTCGTCTCTAATAATTTTTCTCCGGATCAATAAAACCGTCACTCTCGCTCGGAAAGACTATAATACTGATCGATCATTCATGAAATGATCCTAAGAATATGAAAACTCGTTTTTAAAGGGCGAATATATTACTAACTCTACTTTACACGATTAAATGAAAAATTACACTTCTGCTATTTCGTAGTTTGTTAATGATCATTATTGCTGGATTATTGGCATTACTAATGATTAATGTATGATGAATTTAATTGTGTAAAAAGGGAGGTGATGTCCGAAGGCCCCGTTCGCATTTACCACAATTTTCAGCACTGCGATGATTAACGAATATCAATTAAGTATTATCTTAAGCTAGAAACTTTAAAGTTACTTTAAACTTCAGATAGATAACCTTCAGCACATAGCTTCTACACGCGATCTAAGTAAATGAATATCCGGTTTAAGTATAAAGTAACTTTAGAATTTTTAATCCTAACCGATCATCGCTAATTGTTATGAAATATTTGCTATGTTCAGGGCTTTTTTTCTGATGGTGTATCCCTACACGATCAAGGTTTTATACAAGAATGTTCCTACGAAATAAATCCATGTAATTCGATTGAAAGGTTATCCTTTGTTACGTAAAATTACAACGCTAAATAATTGAAAATTAACGTTTAGCTGTAAGTTGTTAGAAAACTTATAGTATATTAAAATACAAAATAGATTTGATTAAATTGTTTTAATTGAATTTTGTTGAAATCCAAAATTTAATTGTACCATACATCCTAACACATTCTTGTACATATGCAATTGATAAAATATGTTTATTGTTCTTCGAATAACACCAATTGAAGTTATTAGTTGACTTTTGAAATAATTATTGAAATTGTAATACAGATCATCGATGGTATTGTTAAATCATATCCGACGATTATGTACCTCGTTCAAACATCAATAAACATAAAAAGGAGATTAATTTAAAAAAATAAAGAACCACCATTGGCAAACTCCAATTTTTAAACTCAGTTTTTCTCTTCAGAAGGAAAGCGCCTGACAAGTAACATAAGTTCGTTGTTGCATTAAATTAAAGTCAATAACCGGTAACATGTAAAGCGATCGTTTTATTTTTATTTTATTGCCATTTCCCGTTTCATTACTTTTCTTTTGCGAGCAGGAAGTAGAGGTGCTGCGATCGATAATTTACGATTTCTTTGTATTAATTAAATTGTAAAAAATTTGCTACTTGGTTCCTTCTTCCATTGATGATGGCAGCATCTCTAATAAGAACACAAAGGAAATAAGAAAGCTCGATGAATAAGGTTAGGAAAGCAGAAGACGAACTGATTTAAAAATGAAGAAGCAACGACACACATCAGCACCAAAAAACGAAAGTAACCAACAAAATACATCGCGATCTGTCACACAGAAGACTCGAGAAATACACCGAATAGCTAAGTTTACGTACTAACAATAAGTATAGTAGAAAAGAAAGGCGAAAGGAAGCGGAAGATCTGCATCGTTCTCTATCATCGATGTAGGCGAAGATAAAATATTACATTATACGATCAAAAGTTTCAGGATATTTATTTAATTGCTATACAACTATATAAGAAACGACTATAATAAGTAGTACGTAGAAAGACATCTCGTAAATATCGTCTGTCGTTCTCCTTGAGCTCGTTACCGATCATTTAACGATTTTCGAGATTTATCAGCGCGGAGACAAGTATTTGAGATCGACAGATACTCTGTAACACATTGAACGACGGTATGGAATGCTGGAAAATCACCGTTCTTGACCTCGCATCGTTTCTAGATTTTCATTGATCAAAAATAGATGAACTGCGAGCGCTGGGAAACTTTACTTTTCTTGCAACAATAATTTTTTATCGGAGCTCGTATTTTGTATTACAATGTAGGAGATCTACATTTATGAAATACAAGGAAATAATCTATTTCATCCTTTTAGAACCCTCTCCTGTTTTTCGATAAGAAATAATAGAAATAAAGTTTTCAATAGATTTATGGATTTTGTTTCATTATCAGCATAATATTAGGAATAAACATTAGCATAATAAAAATATAATTTAATATAAAATCTGCTGATACAATTAAAGAACAAAGTACAAATTTAGACGTTTTACATGTACGAGATATTAATACTTTTCTTTGCGAAATAAAATCGTAATTAAGGCAATATTTGTAAATAAAATCTGATCCCTAAGGAATCGGTGCTTTTCACGCATTTCACATATCATGTATGTGTATGAGCACGGCGTGTAGCAACATGCTGTGTACGGTCAGACTGTAAGGCTGTGTGGTCAATAAAATATAAAAATAAAATTATTTAACAGACAATTACTTTTCATTGAATTTGCCTATCCCTACAATAAAAATTTTTTAATAAATGAAAATGTTGTTTAGAAAATGATAACTTTTAATTTTAGGAAGCCAGAAAAGCTCTGGAAATGGTCCATTGGCCAATTATTTAAAAGTTAGAAATCTATTATTTTGGGAAAATAGCGTTAAAGTAAGCTTAATTTTGAGGATATTAATATTAAAATTAAATTCGACGATTTACCACGTTTTTATAATGATTCAAACGTAAATCTATATCATATTAGTCCTTGTATCGCGTTAAGAACAACGGATTCGCAAGCTTTTGCAGCTTGTCGTGATAAACAAGATCCAATATCTTGAAGACGAGATAATTCCGCTTGTTCTTCTACCAAAGGATATTGTAAACCAATACCAGATTTCGCTGGCTCTGTTAAATGCAATCTGCCTGGCTCCGATTTTTCTTCAGAGCTTAAGAACTCTAAAAAAATTAATTTCTATGAACAAGGCAATCAATCGTTCAATTAATTATCTTTAAAATTCTATAATCCCTAAAATGAACTAACGATTACAATATAATTTGTTATTACTTTTATTCTCAAGTTTCGTAATTTTATATGCTAACTTCCGACGAACTGTTTTTATCTTTTTGATAGTATGTCTTGCCTTCTTCATTTTCTCATTATGATCACCATTTTTCTTCGTTAAATTTTTCTTATTCATTTTTGATTTTTGTCTATTTCTACTCTTTTTAGACGATCTCCTTCTTCTATTTTTGATCTATTAAGTTATAAAAAGATATTTGTTTACAGGTCAGTTCTTGCTAATAGAAATTAATTATTTCACACTGACTAACGTGAATGTTTAACCCCATACGACTTAATCTTCTATCTTGAATTCGTTTGTACCGTCGCCAAAGTTTGCTGCAATTTTCAGCTGCACGAAGTAACTTCGTCTTTAATTCTCGATTTGAAATATTATTAAAAGGGGAAACTACCTTTCCCATGTTAAAGTCGTCATGTCCTCCACCCTGATTACAAATCATAATGATTATAGATTATAATATCTTTTTTATTATTCTGAAAGCAGATAGTGATGGATGGATTAGTGTTGATTCTACCAATTCAATGAACGTGCAGTCCCAACCAGTTCCATCACGTTGACACTGCATAGCTGCTTTTTCGATTTCTTCAGCAATTTCTGTCCTCATCATACAATAAGTGAGGACCCAATTTCGAGGTATATCAATCACAGGTAAAATTCTCCATACTTTGGCTGTGATATCTTCCAACATTTTGAGAGATGTTTTATTATTAAAAGGCGGATCCTCGGTAGACAATAGTTTCATTTTGGATAACTCTTTCTCTGTGGAATTTCCATGATAATGCTATTAGACAAGGGGAAAAATTATTATGCTCGATAAGTATGTGTAAATAAATTTGAAAAGAATTTGAAGAATGTAATAAATTATAATTACTTGCGACAATTTCGTATGATTGTTGTTCTTGATTGATTTCAATAAACAAGATGCAAGCGTTATGTTACAAATAAAAAGATATTCAATTATTGTTAAGAGTTTTAGCATCGAGAGATTAGGTTTTCTAATTACGCAAAGTTTTTGATCATTTCTTTCATCTTTTTCAGGTTACACAATTGTCACATTAAGAGGTTATTTTTTAATTACCAAATTAAATTCGATAAAACTCATTCGTAATTTGTGTCAAAAAAGTGACATAATTAATTGAAATAAATTGATCACCGTGATGATAATTACAACAAAAATCCATACAATTATTAATAAAATGGTAATCATAAAGGACGACAGGTTTTATGTTGAAAAGACACAATTGACAGAATCTATTAACCAACCAAGAAATTTTGTTTAAAATTTATTAGCGAACAGAGGCAGCAAGATTGCCAAAGAGATTCGTAAGAAAGATATAAATTGATTTATTATTTTATTAATTAAAATAACTCAATGAGATCAATTGCTGTTAAGTGTAAATATTTCTTCGTTAAAACACTGATGTAGCATTCTGCGAATCGAGATAAAATACCAGAGGAACTTACAATTTCATAATATGTTTGAAATGTTATCTTATTTTGTTTTTCGTTTCTTAGATTTATTTAATATTTAACATTAAATATGCCTCACTGGAAGTTTCAATAATCAAAATAAATAATAACTTAACAATCCACGTTTAATGAAACGTTTGATTTATGTTCCAAAGATCCTAGACTATGATTTATGGGTATACCTACCAAACGAATGAAAATTTCTAAGAATACTCAGATTGTCGACCGCAAAAGATTAAACGATTAACAAAGAATAGTGATTATGAACGTCTGGACGATTGTAAGGAGAAAAATGGCCGAAGAAAACATAATGCTTTAATCGGATGTGTAAATACATGTCGCGATAATTGTGCTCGCTTCTCTGGGATTTTCCCTCCGTTCTATCTTTCGTGTTCAGGTATAAATGCATACGAAAGAGAAATCTGAGGCTGCATTTTCGTTTGGAACTGAATTCGAAAGCATCGAGCTAGAGCAATTGTAATTTTATATGAAAAACTGTAATTAAGTCAAGAAGTTTAACCAATAATTTAGTGTAATTCATCTGGAAAAGCTGTTGATTGGGATCGAAGATGTTCATGGAATATTTACAGGTAAGATCAAGTAAAGTAAAACTTAAAAAATTCATTTAAATTACAATAAAAGATTGTTAATAATATAAAATAGATTAGTCGAATTGTAAATTAGACTATACTTTACGTTTGTTACATACTATAGTTACAGAGCAAGAAATGATTTAATTTCCTCACTTAATTTAGTGAGAAGCAAACCTAAAAACAAGGAGTAGTAATTCCTTAATTAGTTCTGACGAGGCTCAAGATAGATCTCTTGATTGTTCTAGTTATAACCATTTAACCCTTCAACGATTTCGACCCGGTAGATTGATTTCTTTTGGTTAACTTTCTCTGGCTTCTGGCCAACGTTGACAATGGAAAAACTTACTTTCACATATTTGTCATTATACCTGGGTGTCATGGTTTTTCATATTTGCAGAGAGATTGGGTAAAGAAATTTTGTGAAGAAGTGATTTGGTATTTAGAAAACATAGAAACTTGGGAAACGTTGAGAACTTTAAAAATGGGAAAATGGGGAGAACCTCGGAAAATGTAGGATATGAAAGAAAGTCTAAAGATAAAATTAAATTATCTCTGTCTCGCCATTTCTAGGTTGAACAATATTGAATGCAGGTAAAACAAAGTTTAATGGAACAAAGTAAAAAAAGACCAAATACGTTACTTTTTTCTGGAGCTAATTGCAACAGTATTAATCATCAGCGATTGCGTGCATACATCACAAAAAATGTTAAAACAACGTATTGTGTTATTTGGACAAAGTTTCACAGGTGGTTTAATGCTTTGAGAATGATTGTATCAGAGTTTTATCTACTAAAAATTTTAAGATTTATTACAGATGACTTCAAAGTAAACCTATAGTTTGGAGTTCCCTGAAACGTCAAAGTTTCGACAGTCAAATATGTGTTTAGGATAAATGTTTTATACTCTGAACTCTTAGGTCTCTTTATATAATAGTCTTTATCTATCATTTTTATCTCAATTACTATTAATTGTGTTTATTCAATGAGTAATATACGTCTAAAAATTTTGTATTAATCCATCGTGTCGAAGTTACGTTCGTCCACATGATACAAATTATTTCTCATAGGAAAATATTTACGAAATTGAAACTCATTCACTAATGAAAGAGAAAATTATCATCACAAATGGTCATAAATTCCTGAATAATTATTTAAATCTCATGGCGTTCAAATATCAATGCTCGCCACTTTATTTTTTCTTTCATAACGCAAAGTAACGGGTTATTGAACGGGAGTCTTCTCTTACGAAGCACTGAAAATAATAATAAAATGATCTTTCTCAATAACGTTTATTTAACACGTTGAACTGTATCAACGATTTCCAATCGTGACGTGTTTTGTCCCCACCGTCTGTACACGGGATTTCCTGACAATGAAACACATTACAACCGGGCATTTCCAACATCGTAGAAGTAACGACCTATCGTTATGTATGTGCATACTGGTTAGACACTGTGAAAAGGATTCCGTGTTCGATGAATAAATGTGACACTGACTCGTGAGTATGTGAACTCAGAGTGGTGGGGAACAACTGGTCGAGGAGCCAGTTCAAGGCATCCCGGCTCCGCTTTTCACTCAGCATTTCAGTCCAGCTTCGTTGTGAGAAACAATCGGACGTTTTTTCGTTACTTTACAAGAGTTTCACTTGGGTACAACTTCATCTACGAAATGTTTTTTAAACCGGTAAGTGATCATCATTTGGAAGTTGATTAATTAACAAAATTGATAGAATTTTATTTGTATACTTTTAATTGTGATGATAGAATTTTGTTGTTGCAGGTCTAACAATAATAATAGAATGTTGTTGTAGTACCTCTGATAATAATAGTAGAATTTTACTACTGTAACTTCAATAATACTAATTAAATTTTATTATTGTAACTCTAATAGTGATTTTAAAATTCTATTGTTGTAGCTCTAATGACAATGTATTGATATTGTTACTTTTTAGTATTTTCTATTATATTATTTCAATAATACTAAATCAAATAAACCTCAGTAAAATTCCAAATATTCTGGTTGTAAATTTTCAATTTACCATCAATAAACGCTCCATATAACGGATGACCCCTGGGGTTCTCACCGCTACCGCGATAACTTATCTCATTGCATACATTTTTCGCACTTTTCCCCGTTTCTGTCTACAAGTTTTTATATTTTTCTCGTCCAATACCTTGTTATATAAAACTGACGACGTTGTTTGCTTAGAATTCCTATCATTCTTCTTCGAATGACGAAGGACAACTCCGAATAGGATTCTCCATTTATTTTTACTTCTTTGGAAAGGTAATAAATCAATGCAACAAGGAAATTCCACTATTTGCAACGATCGCTAACAAAGGACAAATAACGTAGCTCTGGTTTTCAGTCACTACTGATGATAATTTGTGTTTAATTCTGTTATGTTTGGACATCAGTTTATTGATTACATATGCAGTACGTGTTCCGTTTGCTATACCGCACACGTACCCGAACAAAGAATTTATTTGTGATTCGTTGTGTGTTTTCGTTGGCATTGATAGATTTTTAAAGCCATTTCGTGAATTCTTATATATTCGCAAAATTGTGAATAAATTGTAGTCGTCGCTGGGTTAAAAATACTTTCAAATTCAATTTTTAATTTGTGACAGAGGTGATGAGGTATTGTTGTTGAAATGTAGTGATTAGGAAAAAGGTAGAAAAATTAATTAACAAGAGAAGATAATTATGAAACTACGTGTCGTTATTCGAAAGTCTTCGTTCAATAAGCTATTTCCTGACAAAGATGTCATTGGAAATATGAAAATAGAGTGAAATTGATGGCTGTCAAAGGAGGAACTGGAAAGTTGCATACGAAATTACGTAAAATCCCTGGCTACTGTTTACATAAATAGAAACTGAAACGGGATAATCAGACGACTTTTCCACGTGCGAAATTGTCACATCAGAAACAAACATACAGGTGTGGTGTTTTCTCTCACTTTCGTCATACGATACTCGTCATACGTTAATTTCAGACAAGAAAGCCGGACTCTATGATGTCACGGTTTGTTCGTTGCTTTCACTCGTACGCTCGTTTGCTTCTCTTTCGTCCCACATTCGTATACTTTTCACTAATTTCACGATTACATCGTCAAACCCCATTTTTTCAGCATTTGCTTTCGTACTATAAATATTTTATTAATCAGTAACAATTTAGTGAAAAGTAAAGTGAATTTACTCATACGATGACAAATATTTTAACGATAGTATACATTTTTAATTTGTGGGAAATTCTATATAGGGAATTCTAATTCCATTCTTTACCTCTACAAAGATTAGAAAACTGGTCTAAGCCAAAATACATGTATCTAATGCCTCTAAAATTGCAAAATAGCTAGTAAGTAATCAGACCGTGACTCCTACACGAAATTCTTCCCATGCTTAGAACAGAAATGTCACAGATACGGATGACGTGTAAAGTGATTTATTTTTTGATATCACGTTGACCTCGTCCACACTGATTTAGAAATTCGCATTAAAATTATATGTTAAGGTCATGGCCAGGCAAATTTATAAAAAGAAACTGAATATATCTGCGAGATGTTAATACAGAATGAAACTGCTTTCTTTTTGTGCCTGTTCTTCTTTTTTTTTCACTTCTCATCTCCGGTAAAATATTGCTTTCTCTTAGCATCATCGTGAAAGTACCTTCCTTGAAATATTTTTATCCAATCAAAAGTATACTTACATCACAATAAAAGGACTGAAGCTTTTAAACTGGAGCCTTATACTTCTTGGACAAGGACAGATTGCGCGTTTAGATTTCGTTTTACACGGTCAGTTGCATGGCTAAACTGTAATCATGAAATAGGCTTGAAATGTCGTTCACTTGGGAAATTTCGCAACGACACAGGAAATTACTTGAGACGTCCGCAAATGTTTTCGTAAGGTGTAATTTAAGTTTGCGCAATCAATGCACGCGTTGCACTCACAGTCAACATGCCTCGGGTCACGCACGTTTTAGTTTCACGTTTCACGTTTGATTTACGATCATTTTTCTTTCCTTCTGTCGTTTATCCGCCCATTAGGTATAAAACATTCTGTAGCATTCAATTTCTATATATTCGGTACCTAATTTGAATTGTTATTCTTATCGATGACTAAACACGGCATGACAATAGAATTGTGAGAACTATGCTTCTTTAAATATCTTAATTCATTATTATCTTTCCAGTTAACGTCGGCGTTAGCAGCGGTGTTCTTGTTAAACACCGTCTCAGCACAATGTCTCACCGGAAACGACAATCCTCCGACCATGAACGCAAAGTCGAGGGAGGGAGTGACCGATTCTCGTTTCGGTTTCGCCCTCGACACCCTGAAGAAAACGGTGCAAATCGAGCCGAGTGACAATATCTTCTACAGTCCTCACAGTCTTCATCAGGCATTGACCTTGGCGTACTTCGGTGCTCGAGGCACCACCGAGGAATCCTTGAGGAAAGCTTTGCATATACCAATCGATCTCTCCAAGGTCGATGTGCAGAGATACTATGCCTTCGAGAACTCCGTTAAACAAAGCTCAGAGGTGAGAAGACTTCGGATTGCATCATTATCGTTCGAGTTAACAAGTATTCCAAGGCAATCCACATGATCGCGATATTTGGCCGGATGTCCAATTCTTTTTTCCTTTTTTGCTTTCATCAGTCGAGTCAAATGGAGTCAGAGATATTTTGGTACCATAAACTTTTGGAAATTGAAAATAGAAATTATTTAATTCTTATAATTAATTGATAATTTGTATCATTTATCATTCTAAAGTCATTCAAGTCTAAAATTACAGTAATGTTTTCCAGACACTCTGTAATAAAGTTTCTTATGTAATTTTTTTTTTCTAGTATCGACCATGTTACTCTTAACAGTTCAAAGTTTTCTGTGCATGAATATGCAATACGATATCCATTTATCATTTATTCATTCATTCAAAATTTCATTCAAAAATAACCATTTGTTTGGTTCAAAAGCAAGATGACTTCAGTTTCTTTTCATCGATTCGCAAAAATACATACAGTAAAATTCATGTTTTTTTTTTTTATATCTATGTTTAGAACAATGGATCGGCTGATTATGAATATAGATCAGCAAATAGATTATGGATATCAAACGCGAGAAAAGTACGAGAATGTATGCTGGATCTGTTCGGCGATCAATTGGAGAAAACCGATTTCCGTACAAACCCTGGCGCTGTACGCGATCATATCAATGAATGGGTCAGTAACATGACGAAAGGACATATTCGTGATCTTCTCTCTTCCGATAGTGTCACCGAAGACACTGACTTAGTATTAGCCAACGCAGTTTACTTCAAAGGACCCTGGTTGAGTCGTTTCGATGTGGCTAATTCTAAGAAGGACCTCTTTTATACTTCCGGTTCGCAGCATTCCATGGCTACGTTCATGCGACAAGAAGGAAACTTCAACCATGGTAAGTTCAGGATTATAGATTGTTTCAAGCATACGTAAAGCTAGACCGTGTTTTCTATTTTCAAAAATTGTGTACCTTTTCCAGTGATTTCCGAAGTGCTCGGCGCCCACGTGTTAGAGTTGCCTTACAAAGGCGAGCAAGTATCGATGTTCGTCCTGCTTCCTCCGTTCGCTACCGCAAGATCCATGGACGATAAACAGAAATCGAACGAGCGAGATGGAGTACGTCAGCTGATCGAACGCATTTCAACCGAGGCAGGATCCGCGGAACTTCGCGACCTTTTGGATTCCGGTATCCCTCCTCAACAAGTCGAAGTCATTCTACCACGATTCGAAGTAGAAAAGGAACTTCCGTTGGGAACGTTGTTGCACGCAATCGGCGCAGGCGAATTATTGATGCCCAACATGGCAAATCTTCGTGGTTTTGTCGAAGACGGTGAAACGCCCTTGTCTCTTGGTGATGCTGTGCATCGGGCACGCATCGAAGTCACCGAGGAGGGTACCACAGCAGCAGCCGCTACTGCTCTCTACACCTTCCGTTCTGGTCGGCCATTGCAACCGGCCGTTTTCGATGCCAATCATCCGTTCGTTTACCTAATTTATGATAAACCAATGCGTACCATTCTTTTCAGCGGAGTTTTCCGCACTCCCAATGCCCCACAGAATACGGCTGAGAATTCCGCCTAAACTCGTTCTTTTTTTTTTATTTGTTTTGAGCGGGTTTCGTTTTAGTAATTTGGGCTGCATTGGTAGAGTGCGTCTAGTAATTCTAATAGTAATATTCTTCTATTACTTCACTATACTAGTGCTACTCTACAACTTTACCAATGTTTCCTAAATTTCACCCTCGAACGGCGGAGTCTGGGTCAATCGAGACACAAACTTATAAAATTTGTACAAGGATATTAAATTGAAATTAAAAGTACAATTTGTTAATGAAAGGATTTAATATATTGGAAGAATTAATTTTAAGGGAACAGTGTAACATTTAGACAATGATAATAATATGTAGTGCAAAATTGAATTAGAATTAGGTGTCTCTCTATGGTCCGCCATTCAAGGGTTAATGAACGAGTGAGATTTGAATGTATGCGAGAGTTGTTCGTTGTGTTTTTTATCTTATAGAAAGAGAATAATTAGATACTTTTCGCAGAGTATTAATTTTAAGTGTAAAATTAAAATTCTGTTGTCACACGTAACGACTAATTCAGAAGTTTTTCAGATAATTATGAGAACATTCATTAGTGCTATGCGAGAAACTAAATGTGTGTGAGTTTCGTGATATTTCTGGCCGTGTGTAAACATTTGAGTGCCGATAAGGATCATCCAATGATCGTATTTAATTTTCATCGAGTGAGAAGAAAAATTCTAATTTGTATCGCTTACTATAATTTATTCTTGTTATATACGTCAAAACAAAAAACACGAAGAAAAGGATGAGTATTATGTCAAGTTTTTCTATACTCAAACAGTCTAATCAAAATTTTTCAATTTCAAAACATAAATGGCTGTTAACCATTTTATAAAATATACCATAGTAATTTAGTATTCTTTTATATTTTCAATATACGTTTTGTTTAACGAACGTAAGAACTGTTATCGTTAGAATAATATTTGTTTATGCAGGAATTTATTTATTTCTAATGGGTAACATATGTACGGTGCGTATTGAAAGTAATAAATAATCACCAATACTCTACTAAAAATCGTCTGTAAAATACTTATTCATTTACGACCACACTATAACTCTGAACCTAATTGAAGACCCTTAGAAGTTAGAAAAGTTTAGGTGTCCTTTAAGGACTGAAGACACATAATGGGAGGATCCTCCCTCTAAACTCTGAACCTACTCTTAGCCAGAGGATTTCACGTCTTTGTTATATGGGAGTTAGGGGTATATCTACTGGCTCGACTAATTACCCAATGCAAACTCGGCCTAATAGTAGATAAAGAAGGAATCCATGTTCGCCTTCTGTTACCTCGATACCTCAGCTTTTCCAAGCATCGTGTTCTCTCGGCTCTCGGTTCCATTCACTGGCGCTGACGTCACTTGTAAACTGTCGAGGATCCCGGATAAGACGCGTGTACAAGCGACCGTTAGCCGGTAGCATCCGCAAAACTCGATCCCCCAGCAGAATCTGGCATCTGGTTGCGTCACGCGCCGATACAAACGAACAGGCACACGAACACGTGCACGAGGAAGCCGCTCCGCTTGCCAACACCAGGGATCATCTCGAGAGGAGTCCTGGCTGTCTGCCAGTCCTTGACGCAGACCTCGATCCACGCGAAAGATGAGCGAACTCGAGATCCGTGAGAGATCTACGTCTCGTATATATACTTCCTCGACTTCTCTAACCAGTTTGATGATCGTTTGAAACGGTATTGCGTTTGCTAGATGGAATCTTCCTTGATCGATCTCTGGGCGCTCAATCATTTTTAGAAGTACACACCAGCATTTTCTTGCTTTATCACTAAGCAGATGGTCTCTATTTCAATGATAGATGCACTCAGTATTGGATGATGTATGTGTTTGGATGAATTGTTGGACGAGTACTTGCGAGAAAGTCGAAGCTGCGGTTCCATCTGGCGGCGAGCTCCGGTACTACCACTATAAGTCTACGGTTCCTCTTCCTAATAGATTTTCTCCCATTCTTTTTTCATCTCAAACTCCATCATCTTAATCGTCCTTGGACTTTAAAATCCTACGATTTCCGTGCAAACTCACGTGACACCATTCCTCAAGTTTTTAGCAACTTCAGGTAGCAACAATAGAGATCTCTCACCCACACGGTATCGTGTAAGGTTTATGAATAATTTCACGCGATCTAGAGTTTCGATAGGCCTCGATTTGAAAAAGCATCCGTTCTAACGATCGGCAGATAAAATTCTAACGGAGCCTCGCCACGTTGATCGGGCAACCTTGACAATCTCGGCATAAACGTGGAAACATTGTTAAGGTTTCCCTCGATACTTTCACTTTCCTTCCTACTTTTTCGCGGCAAGTGCATAGGCCCGTTGCAAACACGTGATTTTACGTTAACGGTACTATCCGACAGTTTCGTACCTCAGATCGAAATTGATACGAAGGAACGTTGATCCGCTGGTGATCCATTTTACGATTTGTACATGTCATTTGAAGGGGCCATTTTTAGGAAAATTTTATCGCAAAAAGGTCCAAATTTATTCTATGTAAAATAGCAAGGTGCCTCATGATTAATAAATGGCAATTCTCGATTATCAAGGCCAGGAAGCACCAGAAATATTCGCGCATCCTTGTTGGTTTCGCGCGGGCCCAGTTTCCCATGAAGTTGCACGGGTTTCCTTGGCGAGTCGAAATTCTAGCTTGTCCAGGTATCGTATTCATAAGGCACGTATATTAATGGACGTACGGCACGGTGTTACGCCGGTGCACGTGCAACACATAAACCACTTCCTTGACAAGACCCAGTTTCGACGTCTCACCGCCGTGTGTACGTATACACGTACGTCGGTGCTTAATTATACCAAAGGAGCACTTACACGGATGCGAGAAGACGATAAAAAAACACACGCACTTCCTTTTCAGTTTATTATTGATCGCTGGGTAATTGGAACGGCGTATTTTACTCTCCATCTTGCTTCATTTTCGTTTTGACCAATGTTGTTATTATATGTTGCAAAGCAAATTTCCTTCCATTCATCAATACCGTAAAATGGTATTTAAACAAATTTTGTACCATTTTTTTCTCTTTTATTGTGAAAGCAGAAGACGATAGAAATGTCACAGTTGGTCGGTCAATAAAAAGGCGACAAAATTGTCGAAAAATACCGAGGCTGTAATAAATCAACGCAACCCTTTTCACGCAACCTGCAATTTAGTCTCACTCTTAAACTGTCCATTACGCCGCGTTCCATCCTGTCGATTTCAATATCTTTCCTGCGGATTTTAGTATTCAGCAAGCGTAATGGATGTACTTCGCAGTTAAGTGTTTACGACTTTTATTAATGCGGCGAAGATTCGAGGGAGCTTGTGAAAATTCGTTGAAGTTATAATTCGAGGAATGCTTTTTGAAAGTTACTGATATAAAAGTTTCAAGAACCGTATGAAATACTAAAACGAAAAATTAAATGATTCGTACAAAAAACCGATATGATAAACAATTTGCTAAAGTGTCAAAAGAGAGAATCGTTATTAAAATAATTACTGATTTCGATATTTTTTATTATAAAACCAGTAACTGCTAGTTTCGCTCCAATAGATGCAATACTTGTTCAGAGATACGCATAATCTGATATAGTTTCTCGGCGGAAATAAGCTTCAGCTGTCGAGAAATTGTTCGAACAGAAGGCGAAGAGCCAACATCAAGATAATAATGCTGATAATGGACGTTCGAATGCTTGCTTCTCGATGATAAGTAAATGTATGCCTTTAACAGATGTTCCTCTAATGATAGTCGGGCAACACGGTTCAAAGTAAATTCGTTCGTTTTTTCTAATTACACGTTCGTTTACGAACTCACGCTTGTTCGCGATCCGGTCAAACTGATAGAGTCTTTAGACCGTGTTGAATATCTATTTATAAATAGATGATCCGACTTGATAATTTTTTCTAATTTTCTAATAATTAGATAAATCAAATGTTACGTTAAGATTTGAAATAAAGGTATTTTATTATTATTCTTACTGTTACTAATAATAATAATTGCGTTTCTATTTAATTAACTTCCCGTCCCCGTATCATCTATTGCGAATAGATATTTATTGTCCGTCGTCATTTGGTGATTTCATAAATCCAATGGCGGTGTTTTATCACCTGTTGCCGGCTAACCGCGAGCATTAGCGATCGGTCGCGGTCCGTTTTTTAGATCCACACAGATAAGCCGACTTTTTTGTTTCGCACTGGTTAAATTTGCATTTAGAACAGAAACCGTGATACGCCGTGCAACGACAAACTCTGTTGGCCATTTATCGGCCTGCCACCCTGCCACGGCTACCGAGAACTGGTAGGTACATACATACCTCCTGTATGCACCTGTGTAATTACGTTCGCACACCGTCAAGCAGCGTACGTGTCGGTTGTAAATTTTTAACATTTTATAATTGCACGCTTGCAACGAGCACACACATGACCAATCTAATGTTGCATTGAACGTGACAGCCTTCCTCTCGACAAGTTTGCACGTCCGCGGAAAACCTTGATCCGATATCATTGTGATTTGATCGTGGAGTTAATGACTGATAATAGAGATACAGTAGGAGTCTTGAATTTTCTAATCGAAATTTTTGCAATTTGAAAAATTATATTTAATAAAGTATTATGTTGCTACTATTGGCATAACTAAAAATATGTAAATAATTGTTACACTATTTAATGTGTTGAATTAAAATAAATTTCAAGATATGAATCGCCCATCATTAAATTATTCATTTTGCAAATTAAATGGTTTACAATCTCTTGGAGATCTGGGCTATGTTAATGTACGCTTTCTCTAATTTCGTTCGAGGAATCTCTTCTTTTCTAAGTCAATTACCTCAACTATCTTTTTATTTTTGATTTCCTATTGTAATTTTATAATTGTTACAATCATTAGATTTCAATTTGAAACGCGAGTTAAAATTCTCAATCACCTGTGATGTTTAATTATCTAGATGTTTTATGAAAATTAATGCCCATAAAATTTGTAATTTTAAATTGAAACAAAATTTCACTATCAAAATACTTTAATATAACGATTTGATATTAAGTTACAATAAGAACCTTTCTTTCTAATACTGTAACATTAGCAGAATATTAATTACAAGTGTACCATGAAACCTAAGTATTTCTAGATTCAATTAACATTGACAATGTATACCTTCTGTACTTTCTTGTTTAACTTATTTGCTCCTTTTTGAGAAAGCGGTACAGTGTTCTAAATAGGATGGTAATTTGTAGAAGTCATGAGAGCAAGACAGATGAAGAATGAAGAAGGAACTTTGTAGCTCCATTGTTGTAATTTTTAGGGCTCTATATTGCTTGATACCGTTTCGTGTTATCACGGACAAATTAATTTCCTAGTCTGGCTAGCTATTTACAAAGCTGTCAGTTTAGCAAAAAAATATTAATTTCAACTGGTAAAAATAATTGTGTTTCACAAAGTTTTTTTAATTTTAAACAGGTGATTACCCCCATCGCGCCCTTCGGATCCGCCCCCCGATTAGAAAGGGTTAAAGTATCAATTTTTTTTTATTCACGATGACCACCGTTATTCCGAATATCATCTTCCTAATAAATATACGTACACCGAGTAATTACGTTCGTGAGCAGGCAACAGGGCCACTAGATTGCACATTGCAGCTGATGGAAGAAGAATATTGAATTTTAATTCCATTTAATTCCGGACCACGGGTAAATTGTAATTAGTGTAACGGTACTCTGCCACAATGCATCGCGAAGAAGTTATTCAAGCATATTCCATGGATGGTTACGGACACACCGTGGTTGACAATTAGAATTTTTTCGTCTGTTGCCAATTAGCCT